AATTATCTGTGTTAGGCAGTGTAAATCACATAGCAAGGGATGGTTATACTCCCAACAGCTTAGTGTCTAAATGGGTATGACAGACATGTAATGCTGTAGCCTAAAAAAGGTTAATGCAGTCCTTGGATGTCCAAACAGAACCATTCCAAGCTAGCTGCATGCATTACATTGCCTCTGTACTGGGCTCCAGTGTGCTTGCTATCAGAATATTATGCCATAAGCATTAGTATGGCATGTACCTACTCCATCATCTATCCTTAGTGGTGTTTGTCTGATTGGCTCACATTCTTAATCTGACATTTAGAAGTGACTCATGTCCAAGATAAGTTGGGACACCCTGTACCTAATTCTTCATCTTCAGGTCACACCCAGACTCCGGCCAAATCTTATGAATCTTGCTGAATAAGAGCTCAGATTAGGGCCTCTTGTATTCGTCTTTGTAGATAAAACCTGCATCCAGGCTCTAGTGACCTTGAATCTCTGCAGTATTCTTTTCTAAAAATGCAATTTCTCTCTGGTCATGCTCAACTGGAATGCAGCTGCAGAGATCACTCTCTGGCTTGTCACTTAGGCCAGATTGTCCCTGCCTCTTTAATTATCCCTCTGGTTTCATTTCTGCATCAGATCACACAGAAGCTTCTTGTCTTTACTTGCGTGGCCTGTAGTGACCTATTCCCTCTGTTTTTCCTCTCTTATTCTCCAGTGACATATCAGCTCATCCTTTCCGTCTGCAGGTATCTATGTTCAATCTTCAAGCACTTATGTTTCCTTTTTGTGCTGTCTTTGTCCTTTCCTCAGAAGCATCCCATTAAACTTCTCTCAAAACTCCCTCCAGATCCTCTTTCAAATTCTTCCTTAACCTTTTCCTTGGCTGGGCTGTCTGCAGCTTACTTGTCAACAGTAAAACATTTAGAGTGCTGAGACCACAATTTTCCTTGCTGACCAGGCTTTTCCACAATCAGAGCATCAGAGTGACAGTATAAGCAAAAATAATAATAACAATAATAATAGAAATAAAATAACAAGAAGTTAGAACATGGCATCATGTAAATTTCCCCCCTCAATTTGAATTTGCTGTATTGCTTATGCTTCAGAGGACAGTAAATGAGGTTTCTGAATGCAGTGTAGGAGCTGATGTTCCCTTTCAGCTACTGAAGTTTTCCCTGTGACCCACTGAGTAATGATGGCATTTCCAGTGGTTTCAGCAGGGAAGCCTCTGTGGGCACCTCTAACTGTCCCCCCAAGGTAAAACCAACATGTGGCAGCAAGGCTGTGATGAAGGAAGGTCACAGCCAAGGTTATGAAGCTCTTTCATGCAACACGGGAGGACTCCAGTCTCCCAGGCATGCTGCCAATGCATCACCTTTAGTTTTGCCGAAATTATCTTGAACCAGGACCTGAAAAGGCCTGAAGGGGCCAAAGAAGAATGCTGAAATGACATAGTCTCATCTTCATGCAGTTTAGTACTAATTTTGTCCTTTGTCTTTAAGGTGCCTTTTAAGTGCTATTTGTCTCTGTGGGAAGCAAATGGGTCACGTTGTTCTGTGTTTCTACTGTAATACGCTGCCTGCTATTTTTCTTTTAGATTATTTGTGTAATCTTTTTTTATGCAATCTGTTTGTTCTTGAGTCTTGCAAGCTTTGCCTTTGCTACCTCTTTCTCAATAAGCAGTGCAACTTGTTCTGTATCCACTCATGGGTATTCTGCACATAACAGGCTGGGTTATTTCATCCAGTGTGAAAATATTAAAATGGGAAACATGTGTGGGCACTTAATTGTGGTGAATCCAACCACAAATACCTTTGCCGTTGGTAACTGGCACACAGGAAAAGCAGACCTTTGTTTTGTTTTTATCAGACATAATGATAGATGCATTGTTTCTGGTGGGGTTTTTCTGGTTTTCTAAGGAAATGAGGCTTGTGCAATCACACTGCCTGTGTGCATGTGCCTATCTTGTTTGTCAGTTCCTCCCTCACCAACAACTCTTGAAACTAATAGCCATTTTCAGCCAAACTTGAGTAAGACATGGGAGTCGGGAGAAGCAACCTGGCTTTATAGAAGACTTTTGAGTTCACAGGTTGCACCAAAGTCTGCAGAAGTTGCTGTCTTTAACAGCTGCACTGCTGCAAACCATCAGTTATGTATTCACGCGTGTGCCTTTGCATGGATCCAGAAGCCCAACTGTAAGCTCCCAGATTTGAATATTTTGGTTTACTTGTTCTCATCCTTCGGGCGAGTGAGTCAGTTGGTGGTGTTGCTAGGCACAGAGTTTGTGTTTTGATTCTCATTGGAGTGGCCATGTCTCATGAAAAACATTGTTTGCTCCAGGCCACAGCACTACAATTTGCATATAAACTTATGAAAAAGGAAGCTTTCTTTAAGCTTTCCTGTGTGAGGGTTTACAGTAGCATTTCTGTCCGTGTACATAACAGCAGAAGCTGGACTTCTCATAAATGTAGATGGGTTAAGTCTGTCGCTGCCTGAATGGGAATCTTCTGTGGAAAAACCCAGAAAGAGGAAGGAAAGCCTAAGGAAATACCAACTTCAAGGGGAGAAGTTGGCTGAGATGTGTGTTGTGCTGCTCTTTGGTTTGTACCTGGCCACCAGCAGTGAAGTTGGGGAATGCCTGAGAGGTGTGCAGGAATGTAGCCTCAGGGCACCTTTCTGAGGCAGAGAAGATGTCTTTATGCCCTTCACTCAAAGGGAGGACAGAGGTGCAAAGGTGCTGAGCGGTTTGCCAGGGATTACAGGAGTACATGCCTAAGCTAGGGAAGAAACAGACCATGATTTCCTGATGCGAGAAGTGCAGCCAGAAGTATGATCTACGTATAGACAGCTTCTGCAGAGAGCGCCTTGGTCGAGGGGGACGTAAACATTGAAGTATGTGAGAGTGGCTAAATTATGAATGTGAGGAGGAGGGAAGAAAAGATTCCCACATGTTCTGCTCAGATGTTAACAAAGAAAGCTGAGAAGTGTTTGCATAGACACTGCATTATTCTGTGTCCAAATGCCTCATAAAAATAATACCGGATGATCACAGAATGGCACACCAGGGAAAATAAATTCTTCAGCGGAATATTCCCGCTGGAAAAACACTGTGTAAAGTAATACACTAATAGCTTTCAATTTCATGTTTTATATATGGAGATATTAACTGCTCCCCAGACGTCTGTTCATATTACAGCCCCGCTACACGAGCAGTTTGGAGAAGGCCCTGGAGCGACTTGGTCTTGTCCACGCAGAGGACCGAGCAGTGCTCTGTTGTACATGCAACTCCTGTTTCTTCTGCCTCTTTCCCAGAGAAGTACTGCTCCGATGGTTCTCTCCAGTGGGATTTTTATTTTTATTTTTATTTTTCCTAGTTCTCGTGTTTTTTTCCATTCTTCCCCCATGCTCTGTAGCCTCATCACCATGCTGGGAAGCCTGCATTCCTTCTCCGCTTGTAAAAGAGGAGCCCTCACAAGAAGCATTACAGTGGAGTGATTAAAGCACAACACTGTCAAAACACTAATAACAAATGCTAAATAAATTAAAGCTTAAAAACAACATCTATTAATTCCTATTTGGAGGAGGTTCCAGGCTTGTCTTCATTTGCCTGGTAGCTCTCTCCACATTGCTCAGACAAGGTATGTATAGGATCTTGCCACGTAGGAAAGAAGCTCATATGTTGTTCCCTGGGTATAGCCTGCTGAAGGCTGGGGCAGGCAGGGAAGAAGGTGTGAGGACGTGTGCTGGAAGATGTCCCACTGTTCAGAAGCCCTGTGGTTGGAACAATAGGACTGGTGCAAGACCTTTTAGGAAGTTTTGCAGTATTTGTTTGGAATAGTCAGTAAGCACAGGCTGTAGTGTGAAAGAGCATTGTATCATTGCTGGATTACTTAATCATTACTAGGTACATATTACTCGTGTGTGTTTTTATGAGTAATTCTGTCTGCCTGCTCTCAGATGAGCTCTGGTCTTCCTTCCCTCCTTCTTGCTTTTCATCATCCCCTCTACCCCACCCACTGAGGAGGGATGCAGGGTCCCATGGCTGGAGGCTCTGCTACATAATGTTTTCAGCAGCAAGGTAAACAAGGCAGCAAGCCTCCTATGTGTGCTCCTGCAGGTTTCTTCTGTTGTGTTTTTGTTTGCATGTTGCACTAGGGACCTTTCTCAGAAACAACTGGAGTTCTTAGGACTTGCCTTTACCCTTGTTAGTAGCTTCTGATATGCTTTTCTTGAATTACGATAAGAATCAAGTATTTGCACATCAGTTTTTGAGAAATGGCTTTAGTCTTTGAATGGATAGCATCTTAGTCAATATTAATCTTCAAACACAAAAAAGTCACTTTTCCACATAAAAGATGGTATTACACTTTTTGTCATCACTAAGACTGGCTACTACTTGTTGTTTAAAATACAAACTAGCTCAGCACCAGCACATTAACAAGAGCGTAAGGATTGATACTGCTATACTGGTAAAAGCATAAAAAGTGAAATCCTTTTGCCAGTATAATTGGCTCTATTGAGACAATTGGTTTGAGCTGAGCAAGCAAAAAGAACTCTTTAAATGATAAAAATTGTGCTGCCACCAGGCAGCTTGATGAGGCATCCTACCACAAAATCCTTTCATGTGGAGGCAAGGCTTTCAGCACAGGTTCATGCCATCTAGCTGAGTAGCTGCAAGTGACTATATAGTTATGTTAGATGGTAAGTGAATGCTTTGCATCTGGGAGATTTAGGCTCCTTATGATGGTTGCCAGCCTGAGGCACCAGCAGTAATGATTTCAGTGTAGTTTTGGGGGCCGGTTTCAAGCTTCTCTAGATCATTCCATGAGGGGTAGCACTAGAGTGTGTTTCAATGTGCTGGATCATTGCCAGCGATGGCATCAGTTGCCCCTGTGCTGGCTGAGCTGCCGTGTTCCTGCTGCCTACTGTGCGATGGAAGCATACAGGAGTACTTTCTCCCCAACGAAAGATGGGAGCTTGCACTGACCCATGTTCCTTCCTTCTGGTGACAGGCCGCTGTGCTCGCTGTGGGGAGAATGTTGTTGGGGAAGGCACTGGCTGCACAGCCATGGACCAGGTCTTCCACGTGGAGTGCTTCACCTGCATGATGTGCAAGAACAAGCTGAGGGGGCAGCCTTTCTACGCAGTAGAGAAGAAAGCCTACTGTGAACCCTGCTATATTGTAAGTACTTGCGGGGTTTTTGTCCGCTCGTTTTTTACATGCAGACATCACAAAAATTTGTTTTCTTCACTGTTGAACTGTTGCCTTATAGCCAAAACCAGGCAATCTCATGGTAAGCTGATGGGCACTAGTTTTCCATGGTCTTCAGAGGCATTCAGATCACTTCAGCTTCTTTTGTTAACTTCATTTTCTGTTCTGTCCAAGCTGTTAAATGAAGTGGCCAAAGCAAGAGAAATAGGTGCTTTTGGTGATGATTTGAGCTCTGAAAGGAGCAGGCAATGCAGTGATTTTTAAGGGAAGGTGTTATTCTGATAAGGTTTTTTGTGTTCAGAAATCTGTTATCAAAACCCTTAGAAATGTTGGTGCCCACTAAAATGTAGAAGATGAAAATAAGATGAGAAGATGAAAAAAGGTGGCACTTCAACTTCTGAAATAGCAACTTCTGTGTTTCTTAATGAAGCTAATGGAAGTCTTTCCACTGATTTAACAGCAGTTGGATTGAGTATCTTTTGAAGCTTACCTTATCCTAAAATTTCACTTTATGCCTCCAACGAGCTCCTAAATCAAACAATTAACTGCACCTTTTAAGAGGCTGCACCTTTTAAGAGGCTCCCATAAGAGACAGTTAAAACCTGTTGTACCGTTGTAAATTAAAGAAACATCACATAGTGTGCCTGAGGCCTTACCTTGCTGTGACCTTAACATACAGTATGTTGGGAAAACATTATAATCTCGAATAAGAAAAGTTCCAGAACATTCTTAACACATTGATGGATCTTCCTTTAAACCTTGGAGTTAGAGTCCTTTTTATAAACTATTGATTTTCTTGCCCACTGTTAAATGAAGCTTATTTTAAACTGAAATCTAGTTTAAAGTTGGTAACTATAGCATGCATGTTCTTCCTCTATGTATTTTCCTGCAAGATTTTGTGAAAGCCGATGTACCACCAGTATGCTGCATAGCATCTTTTATTTACCCAGATGGTGGAGTTTCGTTTGTTTGTTTTTGGGGGCATGAAATGGACTTGAGGCCCTTCCATAATTAGACCTTATTTTTGAAAGCAGAAATTTCTGGTATGCTGATAATTAAAGAAAGAATAGATATTTCTGAAAATGCTACTGCTATCTAACTGTTTCATTCTATTTCGGTGAAGGCTTTTCAGTGGGATTATTGCTGAAATACTGAATATAAAAAGGGGCAGAATTTGTCTTTTTGTAGCAGTGATAAGTGAGTCATGGTAATTGACTTTTAAAACCTAAATGATTTTTTGATTGAAAAATATACCCCTTAAACATTATTTTCTCTTTTTTTCTTTTTTCTTTTTTTTGTTAGCACTATAATGACTGTATGATAAAAATTCTGATATCTTAGGAAGCTGGTGCCCATGTGCAAAGCACTGCAGATTTCAGGAAGGTGTGTTCATAATGCGAGGGGAGCATCTTCATACAACAAGTTAAGCATCTCACTCACTTCAGGATGGAATTGACTTCATCTGCTTGCTGATTGATGCTTTTCCTCTTTTTCAAATCAAGCAGGCATTCTTCACTACTCATCTGCGTTAGTTTGGGAAAACATCTGCATTAGCCACTGTAGTAATGGTTTAAGATTATTTAATCCCATTACTTATACACTTCATTAGCCTGAGTGAATTGTTGGCAAGGATTCAGTAAACTTCCTACATTGGGAGATAAAAGGATAAAAAAAAAAAAAAAAAAAAAGGAAGAAGGATTCTGTTCCTCATTTTCTTTCAAATTTATCTTCTATCTATTTAGGGGATAAAGGAATGATAATTGCCTGGTTGCATCTGTGTTTGTATGTTCCACGATACGGCTTTGCAGCTCTGAGTACAGAGCAATGAGTAAACGTTTAATAGCTTTCTCTTATATAATCAGAGGAGGCCTTTAAATGCTTACCAATGCAATCCACAAAGAAAAAAAAAAAGGTTATGGACTTCACCCAAAACACTTCTGAATCCATCTGCTGCTGCACATGTAGGGGAAAGGGTGGCCCTACTGATAAGTTGCTACATATGTGTAGCTTGACAGCTAGTACTGTGAGTGGGGAAAGGAAAGGAGGAATCTGGCAATCTGGTGGAACAAGAATAACTAACCCAAGCAAACACCAGACTATTACTCCTGGAAGAAGCAAGTGTTGGGTGACTGTCTTGTTACCCCTCAGACAGCTTGGTGCTTTGCTCTGCTGAAGGTCAGATTTGTGAAGGGTTTGGGCCCTGCCTACTTAGGCTCAAAGAAATCTGTGTTGGAGCTCTGTCTGGTGGATTTTTCGATGAAACAGTGTCTGTGTTGGCTTCAGTGGGATGGTGAGTGCCTGAGTGCACTGAGGGCCCAGACTGAGTTTGCAGGTTGCACTTGCAAATGGACGTGAGGCCCTTAAATTGCTGGGGCATGGTCTGAATGCTGTTGTTTTCAGATGTGTGATGCTGTCATACTGAAGCCAGTTAGAATTAATCACCTGCCCAGAATGTAACTTGCGTTTAAGGATTTTGCCTCTAATTCGGTTTTTTGAGTTTTCTCAAATCTCACTCTCAGAAAATAACCTGGAAATGTAGAGTTCTGAATAAAATAATGGGGTTGAAGATCCCAGACTCAGGTTCTTGTGGGCCTGAATCCCCATGGAACATAGGAAACGCATGACTGCCTTGAGACAGTGCAGTGAGCCAGTGGCTGTGGCCTGCTCTGGAAACAGGATTCTGTACTGGTATACATCTGAGTTAATTGATGATGCTTATTTACTGGTCTGCCTAATTCAGACCAATTTCTACCTCTCATCTCTACCTCCACATGTTCAAAACTTTTGACCCGTTGTGCAGACCGCTAGGCCAAGCTGCTGCGTTAATATTAAGGGAAGTCAGCTCCAATTAATTTGCCTGGTCTTGATGTATAAATTCATGAATTCTTGTTTTTAATAATTCCCTTGTGTGACTCATAGCCATACGCACATTGAAAAACAATGCAAAAATAAAAATACACTTTTTTTCAACAATTAGAATTGGCTAATCTTCTTAGTTTGTTACATGACTCTCCTTAGATGTGGTGGAGTGAAGACATAATTAAGATTACTGTGAAGAGCTGTGTTTAATTAGTATTTAGTCAATACCAGGCTTAAATAGCCTGCAGAAGTGTTGTTTCTTGCTTTTGTTTCTGATGTCATTAGTGATCCATTAAAGAAGAAATTCTGCAGAAGTCTGTGGATTAATATCAAAGGAAGTCAGTCACCTGTCTGAAGATGTTTACTGACTGGAATTTCAATACCAGAGTTCATTTCTTTCATAAAAAAATTTCCCCTACCCAAAGGCTGGTCACTATCATTTCCTTATGAATGCTGTGAGATGTGCTGCCAGTGTGTTTGCTGGTTTTGCTCTACATCCAAGGATTCTTTCATTATTAATATTATTTCTAAAAGAGTACCAGTCTTCTCCATTAAAACACTTCTGCTCCTGCTCAACTAAAAGCAACTGTAAAAAAAATAAAGTGTTAATAGGAAGCAGATGTCTCCTAGTCATTACGACAGTCAAGCAACATCTGAAATATCACAATGGGGTTTCCATTGTAACCAGCTCACTGCTGTACATGTGATGAATACAGTGTCTGTAATGTGTTATCAGTGTATTTTTCCCCTCCCTTACAGGACAAATTACTGACCAAAAAAAGAAAACACATTTGGTTTGCTTCCTCTAAAAAGCTGAAGAGATTTTAGCACTGGGTTCAGTGTAGAGAAAAGGTTAAGAGTAACATCAGTGGAACTGTTGTTATAAAAGATTGAAGAGCACAATGTTAGAGCAATGCCAGCTGTCCACTTTCCAAATACAGTGTTATCATAAGGACTGAACACAAGGTTAACCAGACACACCAGTTTGGCAAGGGTGATGCTGCTGTTTTGTGAATGGGGTGTTCTCTGATGTCCTGCTGACTTTCTCCAGGACATGGAAATTTCCTTCTGTTCTTTCTCCCCTTTCCTGGCGGTTCGGTGTTTGACAGTGGGAGATAAACTCTATGAGATTGAAGGCTGAGAGGTGCTGAGCACCTGCACTTAGCACAGAAAGCAGCAAGATCTGGCAGATGTTCTTGGTGACTTATTTCTTCTGCCATGTCTGAGTCAATGCAACCCACTGCTGGACCTGAGGGAAGTGTCACAGTGTGAAGGAGATGAGGAAGCAGAAATAGCCGTGGTCAGATGAAAAGGAGTTCAGAGAAGTTGTGGGCTGAAAATGAGGAGCGATTGAAGAAGGGAGAAACCGTGACTCATGCCTGTCTGCCTAAAGCAGGAGAAGACAGAGGGTGTGCTCTGCAATTTCATTTGGAAACCCAGGGAAGGAGATCCACCGTTTCTGTGGCACAGTGAGAGATACTGAGAGTATAACCTTACACCAGCCCCGGAGATCACTGTATGAGGTTCATCTTTCCATGGCAGTGAAATGGTGGGAGTGCTTGAAAGGGCCAGAATTTTGCATGACTGAGCACCCTGACCACTGCTGTTCCCCAGCTTTAAACACAAGATTGTAGCACTCCACTCCTTTCACTAGTTGTGTATTTTTGCACACAAAAGAAGTAATAAGAGGCAGAAACCTTGAAAATATTAACTTCAGCTTTCTGGCCTATCAGAAGTGTAGTTCAGTAGAAGAGTGGATATTAGGGGAAACTTCTCCAAAAGAGCAGTTGGGCACTGGCACAGACTGCCCAGAGAGGTGGAGTCACTGTTCCTGAAGGTGTTCAAGAACCGTGGAGATGTGGCACTGAGGGACGTGGTCAGTGGGGGTGGGTTGGAGTTGGGCTTAGATGATCTTAGTGGTCTTTTCCAACTTTCATGATTCTATGAAATGCTGATATTTCAGGAAATAGGACATCTAGAGCCAGTGGAACCACGGAGCATGCTGGAAAAGCTTAAATTTGCTGATCATTGGGCAATTTCAGTGTTAAATCAATTTGTGCTCGTGGAAATCTTTGGTAAATACTGCTACTGGCTTTAGTGCACATCTGGTG